AGAGAGAACTGGTAAGTTTCCAATCTCGCGGCTGGGCTCATGGTACTTCCACCTAGAGGCTAGAGGAGGAGCAAAATGGAATGAATCTCCCGCTAGAAAATGGAAATGTAGACGGCCAATGAATCAATGAATCAATGAATTAATGAATCAATCAATCAACCAATCAACCAATCAATCAATCAATTATTCATTCAATCAATCAAGCAATCATCTCATCAGCATTGCTAGCACTGGAGGGATCTGTTTCTTAGAAAAAAAAAAAAAAAAAAAAAAAAAAAACAATCAATCGATCAATCAATCAATTAATTTTATTATTATATTTTTTTTTTTCACACACCAAAAACCACCCCCCTTAAATATTTTTTTTATTTTTTTTTTGTTCAAGGGGTTGGGGTCGGGGTTTCGGAACCGCAATCCGCAACCCTCTTCCCCACACCCCGCGGTGGCCCGTTTTTGCCCGTGGTCGCCGCGGTCATGACCGCGGCCCGCGGGGACCGCGACTGCGGGGAATACATAGAGCTCATGACAGGAGGAGTCTGAGGAGGAAGAGGGTGGATCGGGTGAATCGAGTGGTCCTACCGAGTTGAGCAAAGAGGAGAAAGAGGCCGTGGCGCAGAGAAGACGGGCAGCGGCGGAAGGCAAGCGGCCAATTGAGGAATCAGAGGGGCTGCCGCCACAACTGCTGCAGGGTGATCTGGCGCTCAATCAAGAGCCGCCACACGAGGAGATCGAGAGAAATGGAGGCGCCACTGTAGAGGGATCGGGAAGCCGACGCCACCGAAGAAGTGAATTGTCAGCTCAATCCTCTCCACGACCCAACCTTCGCCTACGTCGATACGCGGGCGCTCGGGCTTCGTCCCCGGTCATTATCCCGCCGTCCCCGTGACGTCCTTACCCTTCAACAGCTCATAGGCCGACCCCCATTCCCTGACGGATGGCACCCCTTCCCGCCTTCCCTCTTCCACCATCTCTACTCCACCCGCCTCTTGGCCACTATCTTCCCACATGCTACCACTCGCTCACTCGTCACCTCTTTCCCCCTCCACATCCTTCTCTTTAGCGTAGATTGCTAGGAATTTAATAATATAGAGCTTTATTGCATGATCGCGAACACAATCCCCACGTGCGAAGACTATGAAAATTTATGCGCTGCCATCCGCCACGCCCTCTGCACTCTCTACCTCGACTACCTCGCCTCCCTCCCAAACCAGCGTCGACACCCGTACTTTCCCCGTATCCATCGCACTGTCTACTACGGCCCAATCCCCACTAGCGATAGAGAAATCCGTCACTTCATGCCTCCCCTTCCGTAAGTCCATCCACCACCGCCTCCGCCCGTCATCATATTGCCTTAAAGTTTCCCGAGTAACGTTTAGGATTGAGCGCACGAATGCTACGATGGATGACTTCCACACTCAGATCTTACGGTAAGTGGCACGTGCAAGCTCCACGTCGATCCTCTGATCATGGGTCGACGCTTGATGAGAGAGTAAGCAGGACCTTGCTCAAGATTGGAACCCCCTGGGCCGCGCTTCTTCCTTGCGCACCTCTCACTGCGGTGGGGACAAGGCTCTAACTGTATCGCGCCCTTAATCCTGCGTGTAATTGTAATTTTTGGCGGGCGCGATTGTAACTGTACTCCTTCTTGATTCTCTCGTGCTTCCCTGCCTTCTCCCTCTCTGTCGCGCATACCTCGCCCTCCATTCTAATTGGCCTAAGCGACTGCATGGCCGGATCGATGTGTGGAGTGTGGCTTCGTCTCCCACGCCGCGGCTTGGACATGCAGATGTAGGCACTTCCTTCTCTTCCCCTTCCTCTCACTTAGGCATAATCCCGGGTTCATCGCGCAAGCATGCATGCTATAAATTTCACAAGCACGATTAGTTTGCTGTCTATGGATTTGGAAGTTAGCGCTGTCAGTGAGGATCGGCTAACGAGTAAGCTCGGAACGTGAGTAGACAAGGGAGTTGGGCGATCCTACGAGCTGGTGCCCGGTATGTGGGGTTGACGTGCGGGCTGCGACGGACTGTGGCACACCGGCGAACCTGGCTGGTATACTCGGGCCAAGCGGGGTGACAACTCTGTGTCGGAAGAGAGAGAAAGAAAGAGAGCGGACGTGTTGGGATGGTGTCTTTTCTCCCCACGTCTGTGTAATATTGACAATTGGCGCCAACCATCTTTTGCTTGCGGCTAACTCAGATTTTCCTTCTATTGGATAAATGATGAGTGATCTAGTTTGTTTTCCTGTATCTACTTTTCTACAAGCTTGTCGAGTTTAGTATGATAATCGTCTGCGTCAAATTTTTACGCGTTTTTGGCCAAAACGGTGTGAATGGATAGTGGAGTTGGCTGGAGTGTTATGATCCATGCATACTTGTCGATTTCCCATTCTTCTCCTTCTTTTGCAATATAGACTAGGAAGTCGTGTGATTGACCATGTTCCCGCCCCCAACCTCTGAATTTTGACCAATGCATGGATGACGGGCTTAAGAGGGAATACGTCTTTTGGTCCGATCATCCGTTGGTCGTGCGATCTTTGTCGGCTATACGCACATGTAACAACGTATGCATGGGTGTTTCGAAGGAAAAGTAGATGGGCATGTTAGGTGTATGGATGTATTCCCTTAGGCACGCCTGACCGGACTCATTCTCGGGAGAACGACCTACAGGCCTTGTGCACACAGGTGTAAGCTAGACTCCGAGGGCCGCCGCTTACACGTGTGTCTGCAAGGCCTGCCTGCGACCTGCCTCCCGAATAACAGAGGATCTGCCAGATTCGCAATATGAATGTTGAAACTATTTTCCATGTCACCGATAGCGAGTGTTTGAGAGACCGGGAATTTCGAGAATATTGGGAGCGCACACACTTCTCCACATGCCCCAAAGCAAAAGGTCGTTCCTCGGTCGGGCGCCAGCCTTCCGTATCTCCCTCGCTGACGCGCCCCTTCCCCTACAACGAGGAAAGGACACGTGTATGCGAGTGGGACGTACGAGAAGTTGTCGCTCGAATCGGTGGACAATATTACTTCCCTCCCGAAAATCGTTGTTCCGGGTTTGTGGATGCGGGCTTTGTTATTATCGATACTCACTTCCCACCCTACTCAGTACTGTTGCCATTTAACGAGCTGATCGTCATTCCGTGGACGGCAGTGGCGCCCCATTGGCCTCGAACCATGTGCACTGAGTGCCAGCGTTTCGATCGCTACGAATCGAAGGGCTTCCACTACCGGATACGAAGTGAAGACGAGCACAAGGAAAGAGCCACGCGGCTGAGACCATCCACGTCGGACTCGGAACTGACCAGGGAACGACGTCGGGAATTAATACGGAAACAGGATGCGCGGAGTGTACCGAAGCCCTTCCGCTCCAAACGAAGATCCGTAGCGCGGCGGGAAGCTCGACAATACTTTTTGGATTGAATTTGGATTTTTCTCTTTTCGTGCCCACGCCGCATTCCGCGAC